GCATCTATGCACTTGTCGGGCCTCCCGGCCATACTGGTGGGACATTACCGATCTGCTACCGCCTACCACTAGGTGAATATTGACCCGTACGGAGATGGTATTGGTCGAATGAGGTTAGTATGCCTTGTCTGACTAGTTTGCAGATTAATGCAGACAGGTACAGTGACCGTACCGCTTGGTGCAATTTTGTATACCAATCCACTCCGACTGGTWTYYCCTTGTGACTAGCCTTCTTCCGTACTAGCTGCCCAAGACTGGTAAGGCATCTTTGGATACTAGCCCACTCCGACTGGTACGCTGTGTTACTAGCCCGTGCTTTTTCCTGTACTAACTACTTCGGACCGGTAAGACATGTCCACCAATCGAAGCACTTCGCCGTACTAGGACGATTGTACTGGGTGCAAAGTACCTGTACACGACCTTATGCATACTAGTCGAATAAGAACAGTCAGAAGGAACAGACCAGCCCACAGAAATTCTCTGAGCGGTACGAATATTGTACCTGTCTATATTGATTTGCAGACTAGCCGGATAGGGCATACCAATCGCGTTCGACTAATTCGATTTCCGTACGGGTCACCACTCGACTGGTTCAGATGACGGTCCAGTATGACCAAGGGTTCGGCTGCGTTCGGTTGGTTAGTATCACGAAAGACTGTTAGCAGTAGCGAAATGGCGTCATTATGATCAGATTTCCCAGTTAGAAGTTCATTGATTGATTATCGGTAGTTCCAGATTCATTATGTACGTTAACAATGCTCTGACCTTTTTAAAGATGGGAAATGATCATCATATATCGAGTTGTACACAGTTCCATTTAAAGCCCTTCACCAATGTGGTAGTGACGCTTTGCCGGCACGCGTAGGGGCCGTATAGACGCCGACCCATACACCGTCCCGTGTCATCCGCTAGACCGACCGTCGTCGTTTCGGTCGCTACTTTTACCCATCTGGCGACGCCAATAGATTGGCATGAGAATAGCGGTAGTGTGATATCCGTAACGATGCTTACACTAGTGCCTCATATCACTCGTGGCGTGCTTAGTCCAGGTGTCGCTACCGTACGCAGAGTCTAAGTGAGTTGCAGACGCCCGCCATAAATAGGATCACGATAAGATAAGAAACGAGTGCATCCTTTTGTGGATTGTGGCTAGATCGTAAAGTCATCATTCGACGGTGGTTGAAGGATCGTTTCAAAAATCTGTTATTAGCTTACTTAAACTCATAGTCCCCCATCAGCTACGCCTTTGCTGCCGACGCCTCGGCGACCTCCGTATAGATTTAGCTATACC